CTTTTGTGATCGCTTTTCGTCCGGCGTCCGTCCGTCCTTCGTCCGTCCGTAAACTTTAACTTTAAACGACATCTCCTCATAAACCGCTGAGTCAATTTCATCCATACTTTACAGGAATGTTCCTTTGGTAGTCAACTTTAAAAATTGTTCAAAGAATTTAATTTCAAGCAAACTCTGGTTGACATGGCAACCGAAAGAAAAACTTAAAATATCTTCTTTTAGAAAACCGAAAAATAATTGGCATGAAACATCATCTAGTCAGTGACAAAGTTTGTTCAAATAAATGCCCTGGGGTCAAAATTGGCCTCGCCCCGGGGGTCGTTGATTTTCCTTTTTTATATAGTAAAATCTAAAAAAAATAATTTAAAAACTAAAATAGCTAGAGCTTAGATATTAAGCATGAAACATCTTCTAGTGGGTGTCTACCAAGTTTGTTCAAATAAAAACCCTGGGGTAAAAATTGGCCCCGCCCCAGAGGGTCCTTGATTTTCCTTATTTGTATAAAGTAAAAACTAAAAAAATCTTCTTTTAAAAAACCCAAATAGCTAGAGCTTAGATATAAAGCATGAAACATCTTCTAGCGGGTGTTTAACAAGTTTGTTCAATAAAAGCCCTGGGGTACAATTTGGCCCCGTCCCAGGGGGTCATTATTTTTCCCTTTATGTATACTGTAAAAACTTAACAAAATCTTCTTTTAAAAACCCCAAAGAGCTAGAGCTAAGATATTTAACATGAAACATCTTCTAATAGGTGTTTACCAAGTTTGTTCAAATAAGGGCCCTTGGGTTAAAATTGTCTCCGCCCCAGGGGTCATTGATTTCCTGATATGTGTATAGTAAAAACTTAAAAAATCTTCTTATAAAAAAACACAAAGAGCTATAGTTTAGATACTAAGCATGGAATATCTTCTAGTGAGTGTCTAGTTTGTTCAAACTAAAGCCCTGGGGTTAAAAAAATTGGCCCCTCCCGGGGGGGGGGGGGAGACATTGTTTTTTCCCTATATGTATATAGTAAAAACTTAAAAAGTCTTCTTATAAAAACCGTAAAGAGCTAGAGCTTAGATATTTATCATGAAACATCTTCTAATTTTGTTCAAATAAAAGCCCCTGGTTTAAAATTGGCCTTGGCCCAGGTGCCTATACAGGTGAGCGATTTCAGGGCCATCATGACCCTCTCGTTTTCTATTAATCAAGCATGTTTGCAAATTATTTTCTTTTTATATACTGTATTTGAAAATACAATTTAACCTGATTTAAACTTTTTTTCGATGCGTTTTTTTTCTAGGTTTATCATAAGTTACACCTAAAAGTTTTTATAACAAAGTGTTTCGTCAGGGTATGATATTTATGATATGGTAACGAAATATGAAGACCTGCTAATATTATGTTTTATTTGACTTGTTTCGTTTATTAAGGCAATAGTTTTATAAATCATTTATGATGATACAGAAGATGTACGTTATTTTCTGCCTGTTTAATTGAAACTATAGAATATTGACAGGTTTGCTACGTTTTTGTTACACGAGCTTTTACTTTTATTGTACACCAATCAAATAATAACTATAAAAGTAGATGGTTGATTTAGCGGAACTCTGTTAAAATTTGTAATGGTAATAATTTACATTCTCCGAAACTCTTTTCAAAAGACACATTTCTTCATTATCCTTTCACTTTTCCCTGACATGCAACTTCATTAATAAAACGTGAATGAAAGAGAGAGTGAGAGAGAAGATTTAATGTAAAAAAAATTTGTTCCCCATGCTTGTGAAAATAGCGGATTCTGGTTTTCAATTATTGTTACATAAGGACATTATGGTGCATTCGGTCGTTTCTCCCAATGACTGTTAAACCAAATTTGCGTCCATCGATGGTTTCATGTTATGTTATACTGGTAATACGGCAACACTGTTATTGAAACTATCCAGACAACATACAATCTAAACACTTATCTGCTGTCTATTTTCTCAGGCAAACAGTTTAGTTGTACATTGACGATGTGGTTATGTCATGTACATAAGAAATTACATTCTACAAATAAGCCATGCCTGATAAAAAGCAATACGAAGACTGGTAATATGATGTTGTCTGGAATTTTATTATAATGACGCCGAATATAAATCACACACACATTACCCATTACCACTTAATTGGATTTCACTACTTTATCATTAAAACATACATATATATGTCAGATCAAGGAAGCTCTAATTGTATACCAATTATTTCTGCAGAAATTCAAATAAATTATAGGAGTAAACCATCATGATTAATTTTTTTTATTGATTCAATGCAATTTATGTTAGACTCTTTATAAGTAGGGAATGTTGATTCATAAGTAATAAACTTAAAAGTTGAAATATGAGAGAAGCAATATATAATATATTATTCCACAAGTAGTATTTTGCGAAATATTTTATACAAATAACGCATTAGACGGAAATTATTACTTTATTTGTTAAAAATATATAAATACACTGGGGTTATTAAATGCAAACATTATTTACAACAATGTTTGTCAGATAACCGAGTTACCCAATTAAAATATACTCGTAGTTACTATACAAAACAAGTAGTAAAACATATTTAGGTTCATGGACACACAAATACTCTGTCAAATTGTTTACAAATAATTCGTAATAGTACATCATGTATTGGAGTAAAAGGAACTGAAAAGAAAATCAATTAAAATAGTAAATACTGTCACAAATTTCACGAAAAACATTTTTCGTATTTGAACACAAATCAATGTTTTGTTGATGATATATGTCTTTTTTTCATGAATAGTATTAAGTTTAAAATAGTATCTTATTATGATGCATGTGTTCTTCCGGTGCCTTCTGGACTGCATTTTGTGAACGTCACCCTGCCTTGTTGGTATTTGTTCTCGTATTTTATAAGCAACAAATAGGCAAACTGAAATGCTAGTTCGAGATGAACTTGGCACTTTGAATTGTTTTATTTAAAGACTATGCTTTGTGTTATGAAAAACTGATTTTAAGGGGACTTGTGTTGTTGTGCTGACACTTTTCAACTGTTACGCTACAATTTACATACTTGTAAATGAATCGATAATTGAATACATATCTTTCTGGTTTATAAAATAATATGTGGTAAAGTTTAAGTCATGCATGCAAATCTATCTTTAAGCCAGAAATTGCACAAGTTAAATATGTTCAATTTGATCAATTTTATACAATCATCAGAGTGTGTTTTATCGTCATTGTGCAAATAATTTACGTGTAAAGTAATAAATTTCTAAAATAACACACCACAAAGTTGTAAAAGCTCATCTGGTTATTTAATAAATATTTCAAGTTTACTTTACACACCCAGACTATGCACATTTTAAACATTATATAAACGATGTATTATTATACTACTTGATCAAATAAAAACAACAAGATAGCTAATTTTTTAACATTAAGGCTCAGAGATGAATATTATATTCCTCCCTAGAAAGAGCCAAGTTATGTTTTGTCATGTTTGGGGATTGAATTTAAAGCTTGTTTTGTGCTTAAAATGGGAAGAAATGAGCGCGTAACGTGAAATAATTTGTCATTAACGTCACAAAATGTGAACAAAGCGGTGTCAACTAAATCATTATAACTTTATAACTTCCCTGATGGCCGATATATGATGGCATAAAGTATCGCTTCGAGATGTGTAACAGAACACAAATGATCAAAAAAAATTAAGGTTTAATGGCCCTTTCAATAATATTCTTAATATACACATGGTATTATCATTCACAAAAAAATGCACACGTACATTGCCCTCCAAAAAAAAACAACAAAAAAACAAACACATGAAACATGTCTAAGCCATTTCATGAAAGATTTTACTGTGTACTTGGAAAGTCCTGCTATAAATGTTTGTTTATAATGTATGTTATAAAAGGTACTATGATTGTTCAGTAACAATCAGCGTTAAATAAACAAATGACATAAAAATAGTATGGGTGTACAAAATGGTAGGAATATTTAAACTTAGTAGACATGGGTTGGTTTAAGATCATGTACACCAAGTGCCAAATCATTGATAAAAATATTATTTAAAAATTATCGATAAAACTGGAATCTTGCATCATTTTATGGGAATGAAAAAATGTTTCAGTAACGAAAGCAGATATAAGTGAAATGCATCAAATTGATAAAAAGGAAAGATAACTGCAAATGTTAAATCGTATTAGCTAAAAAATAAAAATATATGCATTCATTTCTTTTTGAAAAATTAGGCTTAGACTTTATAGAAAAACAATTTCTAATTACCCCCCTTATTTACATGAAATGTTAATTCGTTAATATTTTTTTTTATAAATAATGCTTTTTGAACTTACAATATTGATAAATCTTCATTTGAGCATCATATTTTGATATAAAGCCATAAAAATATTTGAGTTATAGGATCTTTAAATAAATTGGGAAATATGTGATATTATATTGATACACATGTTGATATAAATAGATACAAATGTAATTAATATTAATGTCACGTGATCATTTAGTGTGCAGTCATAATCATTAAATCGGCTTACGGCACATATACACGTGCAAAACGATCAAATATGACGTCATATTTGACGTCATCATAACAAGCTTGCAGTAAGGGTGACTTGATTATATAATTGAAACGTAGCGTAACTTACTTTAAAACAGTTTTACTGAATTGCAAATGAATAATGATTGTTTTCATTAAACATAAAGAAATTACTAACTAAAGTCACTTGGGGAAGCTACTGTGTGAAAATTTTCTTTTTCTTTTGCATGGTAATGTTCTACAGTACTAAGTGCAAGTATGTTCTGTTTTGTTCTAATTTTTATTTAACGCGGTTTTTTCCATATTCCTGGCTTCTCTGATGTGTATTAGATGTATATATCGGAATAGTGAAGGACCATTTAACTGAATCGTTTTTGTTTTCATTAACACATTGGATAGTAATATTTTAGCGTCTCATTTGCAGTGGCAACATAAAGACTTCATAACTTCTCATTTATATTGCAGTGACTTTATTGACTGACAGTGCACGTCAGGGCGAATAATAATATACAAACTAAGATGGAGGCGATAGCAGACGACCTTTGGAAGGTATACAATAAAGAATGGCGGGAAGCTCGTCTATCATTGAAAATCCACAAACACGATGAAGAGATTATATATCTGCTAATGCAGCTTGTCAGGGTAAGACTTAAGATAATATTAATGGAAATAATTATATTTGCTTATCTGTCGATCAACGCATATGTATAATAGTTACCTTTAAAAAGTATCAGTTAGTTCTCAGTATGATATGCTATGTCATTCGCGATTGTATACTGTCATTATACTTGTTGTAACGAAGCACCACTATAAAAATCTAGATACAAAGTACTCCTACGGAAGCATTAATCACAAAACATTACATGAAAATTGAAGACTCGGTTTGATTGAGTCTGTACATGAGGGATAATGAATAAGTGCAACATCCCTCACGCCCCCCCCTAGCACCGGCTTGAGCGTACTCAATTCTCAACACGTAATAGTGCTGGCATCAAAGTGAGGATTGTTGTCACAGTTACAAGTTGACACTGTCACCTATATCATATCTTGAGTAACAAGCTAATAGCAAACACATAACTCTCCATTCACATAAATATACATGACATTTAAACCTATCTTTTATTTTGAACTGATCAGGCGATCGTTGTCATGGTAATGTGATATTTTTCAGGGAATATATGAGTTCTGTCAGAATGAAACAAAAGAATCACACCACAAGAAAAAAACAGAGCAGCTGACTGAGGTATACTATCAACTTATAAACTAATGTATTTTAGGAACATTACTTAGATAGATGTACGTGATTAAGAAATGTAAGGTTTCAGTTTTGTATAGTATTAATTGTTTTCAGACTTTATGTACATATTGTTCTGTTAATATTCCGTTATCTAGAACTTAAAGCTGAAGTTATTCTAAAATTCATAGAAAGTTGGTAACGCAAGCATTTCTCACAAGTGTATCTGAAATAAATATTAAAAGTTTGACACATATTCCAGTGCCACATGTAACTGTAAATGCGTCAGGGTTGTTTTATTGAAAACTCTTGAAACAAATAATGTAAAGATGCTACATCTATTCTACTCGTGTATCTTTCACAAAAGCGAAAAAATATGGTAACATCAGGTCATAATTCACACCCCAATTATTATGCCCCACCACTTGGAGGGACGAGTAACGGACATATAGAATTGCTCGTGTCCGTCTGTCCTGTTTCCGTCTATAACTTTGTTGGTTCCAAATGTATAATAGTTTTCAGAAAGTTACGGGCCTGGGTATTTTTGTATATTGATAGGACATCTCTGGAGAAATTTACTGCTTTATCCATGCAATTTTCCAATAATTGTTGTCAGCATGTGGAGTTACGTGTTTTGCTGCAACTAATGCAAAAGATTGCGAGGGTTTTTCTCCCTTAATAAACAAGAGACATTCTTTACTTGTGCCGCGAGTTTCTTCAAAAGTATAAAACTGGAGGCATGGGACTGTGTTAGAATTACGCAACATGATAATTTTTCACAAATTCATTGGAGGGTTAATAAGCATATTTGGACTTTTGTGTTACTCCAAAAATGTACCTGCATGAATGTTTATATTCACAAAAAGTTGAACATACATTTTGACAATCAATGGCATCCATTTCCTAAGAACACATTTCTTACTGATGTAAGATGTGGGCTAAGGTTTAAATAAAAAACATTAATTTTTATAATCTGTGTCAAGCAGGAAAGATTTGGAACGTTTAATAACACTTGAACAAGAAAATATCTAATATATTTTCTTCCTTTCAGATTGGTTTGCTTGCTTAAAATTTATTTATCACTTATTTATCTTTACGTCTATTACTTACTTTCAGATTTATCTTCATCAAAAACTTCCGCCATCATTTAACAAGGACCACGTGACAAATCCAATTCGGTCATTTGTACACAGCTGTATACGATGCTTATATCACATGTGCTCATTAAAACATTCCCCTCTCTATATATACTGGATTCCTAAAGGAGAAATGATTGATAAAAACAAATTTGAAATAGAAGGTGACAAAGACAAACATGTTTGTGATTGGACTGTATGGCCAGCTGTGATGAAAGAAGACGGAACCGTGCTGAAGAAAGGAGTTGTCATTCCTGTTTGAGTCTTTGTTTATGGAATAATAAGGATATTATATTATGTAGGGGACTCTCTTTATCATATTTAGAAAAGTGTTTGCCATTAACGGGAATAACAGTTTAGTAAGGTATTGAATATTGAACATATCTGCCTATGCTTTAGTCATGAGTTTTAGTAATTTAACCAATTTTTTGTTTAAGAGATTTCTTGTACATTTAGATCCTAATATAGATTTGTTATCTTATGTTTTATCTCTATTTTTGAGAGTAATTCAATATGTTTTGTATATAGAAACACAGTGTTGAAATATTTGCAACACTTATTTACAAATTATTGCTTATTCAACATTTATCTGCAACGTGAACTTTTCGTTTGTTCTACACGTAAAATTGTTATATCTACTATCTTAGGCAACCATAATGCTATAACCATAATTTACAATAGGTTTTTGCTTGCTCGACATTAGAATATGATATCAGCAAATGGTCATTACAATTATAGACTGTCACATATGCTGTACCTTCAAGATTCAGTGTAGATATTATCACCAATCTTGCAGTCAGCAATCCCCATGACAACACTAGTTATGGCAAACATTCTATCGCTTTGTCATGACAATCGGTATATTGAATAAAATGTTATAAAACATAAAAAAGATATCAAGATTAAGAAGCGTTATCTTTCAGCACATGTAAGATGTTGTTTATAACATTTTCAAATCTGATTTACATATCTACGCAATTATTTCATAATGAGGTATTGGCACAAACCTGTGTATTTCATACTGTTATCTGTTGCCATTTGGTTCTTTAATTTACATTTTGTTACTTTATATATAGACGGTTCATTCTTATAGGTTTTCTATCTGTTTTGTTTAGTCTAATATCTATATTTCACTAAAATGATAGAATATATACTCTATGATTTGTACTTCTGAACTTCTTTTTTCTTGTTATATGATCATTTCCTGCTACAAATATAAACAGTTTAAGTTTAAAAATCAAGAATAATAACTTATATAACTTTTTACCAACCCAGACATATTATATTTAAATTATTTAGCAATGTGAAGGGTGTATTATGTCATCCTGCAATTAAACTATACCATAAGCTTTATACGACATATCTTTCTTATTTATCTCTTCCGTTGTATGATAGTCTCAGAAAACAGATAGAGACCTATTTGTTAAATGTCTGTTCTTTATTGCATATACGGTGTTCCTTGCATTAATTAATTGGAGCAAGTCAACACCGGGAATTCAAATAAAATGTACAAAAGGTAAATAAATATAAACAAATGTTTACATCAAACGCAAACAAATGTTTGGTATGTAAGTTCTGCTTATGGTAATACCAATTATAGCAGTAGACCGGCACTTAACATTTAACAGATCCTTTCTACAGGTAGAAACAAGAAAATGACGTAGTCTGCATACAGTTAGGCAAAGCGAAACATAAGGGACACAAATAACCGAAATAGTTCTTTTTCAATTAATGCATTGCTTAAACTGAACACTTGAACGTATTTAAGACCATTAAAACATGTAACAAAATATAAGACAACTATGAGATTCTGAACATGCTCATTTTATAATGTGAATTCATTGGCACTTAAATTTATATTTTAAAAAATTGTCCCAAGGGAATAGGTTTTATTCATAAAAAATTTAAAACTTATCGGGTACTTTTAGAGAAAAATTTGTTAAGGGGTTTCATGGTACAGGACTCAAATCAAACCCGAAGGTCTTGCAATTCTCCTTGTTTATTTTGTTGTGGATTAAGCCTTCGGAGTGATCTGGATTTTGAAACTGGTCAGGCGTTTTTTCTCTTTGGTTTAATTTTAATACAATCAAAAGGTTTGCACAATGTACTTGTTAACTTTTTAAATGATTGAAGCTGAGAAAATTTGCAGTCAAGTTCGTAACACTTGCCAATCTTAAAGGAACACAATCTAATACATGTATATAATATTCTCTGAAAATCACTAGTGGCAGAACGCAATTTTCACTATTCTTTCATATGATAACATACTATAATTATTATCACATGTGTGTGTTTAAAATTTGCCTCTGACTGATTACATTAATATTTTGTCAAAACCACTAGTGGTTATTTCCCCTTTTTACCCTGAAATTGATCATTTTCAGTGTAAGGTAATTTGATCTATGGAAAATATGGTTTATCTCATCATACGAGGGGTGATCCAAAAATTCGTGGACACCCTGCATAAAACAAAAAGTAATAAAACAAATCACATGAAATTCTTGTATTTTATTAAGTGACCATATGTTGGCAAATTCTCAAAATACTGTAAAGATTGTACAAGAATTAACGATTCTGCACCAGTTTATATACATAGACATGACAAAACGCGGCGCAGCTCACGACGTCACAAACAACGTTATGCTATCATAGGAAGTAATCTACGTTACCGTTTTGCCTTATAACTTTTCAAAGTATTCCCTTTTAACCCGCACACATTTTTCATGGCGGCCGACCCAGTCTCTAAATGAACTCGCATACCATTCCTGGCTGAATGATGACAGTATGCATTGGGTGGCTCCTCTCAACTCGTCCAGATTGTCAACACTTTCAACAGTTTCTTTGTCTCTTACCTCGACAGGTCGCGAATCATCCCCAACACTTTCCCTTCCATCCGAAAATCGGCGATGCAACTTATAAACTAGACAACGACACACTGACGGTTTATTTGTCACACTTTCGATCATTGTTTTTGTCTTGAGAGAAAAATGTAATTTATATACTAAAGGTAGTCTTACTTTTCCCGCAAAAAATTCTAACATCAGCCGATATCGTAATACATCGGTAATTTCCGGAATGATATTTTTCACAGTCTTCGGTATTCAGTAATTCTGAATCGTTTATAACCGGAATTTAGTACATAGCGATAAAAATAAGCGATTGTAAATAATCTAATGCCCAATATTTCGTTCCGGAAATAACCGATATGCTACGATATTTGCCGATGTTAAATATTTTGGTGGAAAAAATGACAGTAAGACTATCTTAGCGAAGCCAATGATGCTGTATGAAATTGAAAATCTTGATCGAAAATGTGTTTTGGTTTTTCTTCTGAGTACACATAGAAGCCAAGGCATGAAATGTTGTGAGTTATTATGTTTTCATGTTGAAAGCTATTAAAGTATTTCATGCACGCTATTTTGAATACACGGTTCGGTTTTATGATTAACGAATCCCAGATATACTATTCCCAAATACCCGTAACTCATTGAAGATGTATTTTATGGGGGATAATGAAAATACGTTCGGTAAAACACATTTATTTGCCTTGGTAGACATAAATGCTGTTTTTTAATGTGGTGAAAACCATCTCATTTGTCAAAGTTTTAATGTATCCCTCTAGAATATTGGTGGCTCCCATTCCTTAATTTAATTTTGAAATGTATGGATTTCTTAAATTATATTTTATCTAAAAATTTCAAATGAGTTCTGAAAATTCATATTTTTTGATCAATTTTCTCTTTACTTGATATGGTTTTGAAGGTCCCCATAAGTGTTACTGTCCTCCATTTTTGTTATTATTTGAAATTGTTAATGGACAGCACTTTACTTGGACATAGGCACCAAATTAATTGTGGTTGTTACTGAAATGTATTTGAATTTTGAGAAAATTGGTTATAACTTGTATTCCAGGAACGAAAGGGAAAGAACCAATAACAAACAAAAAAACAAAATAACAAACAAAAAAAACAAAACATTTCTTTTTTACACTGGGGAATTTGCTTTTGGGGAAAATTTTTTGCTTTTACCTGGGCCAAAGTGGGAAGGGGGGTTTAGCTTTTGGGGATCCTTTTCGGGGCCGGCGTCGTCCGGCGGGCCCTCCGTCGTCCCCCGTCGTTTCCCTCCCTCCGTCCAAACTTTTGGTTTAAAAACATTTTTCCCCATAAAAACTGAGCCAATTTTTATCCAAACTTCACAGGAATGTTCCTTTGGTGTGGTCACCATTAAAAATTGTTCAAAGAATTTAATTCCATGCAGAACTCTGCTTGCCATGGCAACCAAAAGAAAAAACTTTAAATATCTTCTTTTAAAAAATCATAAGAGCTAGAGCTTAGATATTTGGCATGAAACATCTTCTAGTGAGTGTCTACCAAGTTTGTTCAAATAAAAGCCCTGGGGTCAAAATTGGCCCCGCTCCTGGGGGTCATTGATTTTCCCTATATGCATATAGTAAAAACTTAAAAAATCTTCTTTTAAAGAACCGTAAGAGCTAGAGCTTAGATATTTGACATGAAACATCTTCTAGTGAATGTCTACCAAGTTTGTTCAAATAAAAGCCCTGGGGTCAAAATTGGCCCCGACCCAAGGGGTCATTGATTTTCCCAATACGCATATAGTAAAACTTAAAAAATCTTCTTTTAAAGAACCAAAGAGCTAGAGCTAAGATATTAAGCATGAAACATCTTCTAGTGAGTGTCTACCCAAGTTTGTTCAAATTAAAGCCCTGGGGGGTCAAAATTGGCCCGCCCCGGGTCATTGATTTCCCTATATGCATATGGTAAAAACTTAAAAAATCTTCTTTTTAAAGAACCATAAGAGCTAGAGCTTAGATATTTAGCATGAAACATCTTCTAGTGAATTTCTAACCAAGTTTGTTCAAATAAAAGCCCTGGGGTCAAAATTGACCCTGCCCCCAGGGGGTCATAGATTTTCCCTATATGCATATAGTAAAAACTTAAAAAATCTTCTTTTTAAAGAAACCCAAAGAGCTAGAGCTAAGATATTTTT